TCTCTCTCTCTCTCTCTCTCTCTCTCTCTCTCTCTCTCTCTCTCCCCTGGCCTACCTGTAGTACCTTTATATCTTCCTAGTCGCTGCTTACCCGTCATAGCCAGTTCCTGGTCGCAACAAGAACTAATGCACAGCCGGTTTCTTAACCAGTCCCAGTACCCTCCCTAGCCTACTGTCTTCCCCCAAACATAACACATATGTGTTGTAAACGAATACAACACACAGGCTTTCTATACAGATACAACACATATGTGTTCTATTCGAACAGCCCTTATATCCGAGTACAACATGGACATGTGTTCCATTCAAGCCATCGATTTTTTTCGATAACCCGAGTACAATGCATATGCGTTATGTTCGGGGGTATCCCGGTCGCTATAGTACCTCTTGCATTCTCCAAGTCGCTCCTATCTCAACATAGCCAGTTCCTGCTCCCAACAAAAACTAATATACAGCCAGTTTTTCACCGGTCCCAGTCTGCTAGCTCTGTCCCACCAAAAACTGATGTACAACCCCGTAGTTCTACTACCGGTACCCTTGCGTTGTCCCTTGTGCCTGGTCTCCCCCGGCCCCCCCCCATCCCAAATGAGTCCCAGCCAGTTTCTTCACCGGTCCCAGTCTGCCAGCTCGGTCCCAGCAAAAACTAATGTACAGCCCCGTAGTACCCGTACTTCCACTCCCGGGACCCTTACGTTGTCCCTTGTGCTAGTTCACCGCGTCCGCCCCAATTCCGAAAGTGAATCCCACCTAGTCCCGCTTCCCCGTCCCATGGTCCAGCCGACAATTCTGGCTTCGTGAACCCGACCAGCCCCTCAGTGAGCAACCTCCATGCCGCACCCAAGTTCCCCTGGTAGCCCTGGTGAGCCTTGCCACACTCTGGAAGAAAGCGCCGGGGGTTACCTCCTAGGGCCTTTTTTTATTATTGCTGGACGGAATTGTGGCCAGAGACATCCAGGACGAGCCGTAAATGCGGTCAGATTCATTCAAGAAAGTGCTAGTGTGAGTACACCCTCAGAGGCTCACTGGCATGCTGGTGGATTCTATGAAATGCTGCTCCCCTCCATTCAATACAGCAGCGACAGACGGTAACCACGCGTTCTTTTTTTCCCTTTTTCTTTTTCTTTTTCTTTTTCTTTTTCCGTCATTTTTCTTTTTCTTAACTAAGCCAGGGTTACCCACCCAAACGCTCGGGGAGGGGGTCTCCACCCCCCCAAATGTTCGGGGGCCCGGTCAAACGTGAGGGGGCCGAACTTCCCAAAGTTTGGCCCCCGCCAAACATCATTTCGGGGCATAAAAACATTTTATTTTATTTTATTTTTTCTGGTGAGTTCGGTAGCATGTAGGGCACATGCCTATATGGCGATGTGAAAAATGCGCTCGTCCACTTACCTTTTTTGTTT